GACCGGTTGATCGATAAAAGGGAACCCGAGGAAAGCGTGGTCGAGGAGAATCTGATTACCGAGAGGTTGGTGGAATCGTTGGAGAAGGCCGTTCCGGAGTTGCGTTTGAACACGGTGTCACGAATGCTAGGAGAATTGTTGGAAATTATTCACGAATCCGATGTCGAATCTGCGAATCATCGTGTGAGGTACGTGTGAGAATTTCTTATTTTTTTCTTTCTTGATTGTGAAATGATTCGTGTATCAACTTGATCATAAAAATATTAAATTTATACAATAGTAGACATTGTTAAGTAGTATAAGAATTTCTAACGTTGCAGTATTTTTTTCTTGATTATAAAATGACTTTATATATTCATAAAAATGGATCTTGAATCAATAATGGTCAAATTTTATATAATACAATTGTTAGTAGACATTATTACATTGTATAAGTAGAATTTCTTGAGGAAAAAATCTAAAATAATATATTAATAGAAATTATAAAAATATTGAATCAATAATGGTCAAATTTATATAATACAATTGTTTCTAGACATTATTAGAACATATAAGTAGAATTTCTTGAAAAAGAAATCTAAAATAATTTGTATATCAATAAAAATTATAAAAATATTGAATCAATAATGATCAAATTTGTATAATACAATTGTTACTAGACATTATTAGATCATGTAAGGTATGTAGAATTTCTTGAAGAAGAAATCTAAAATGATTTATATATTAACTTAAGCATTAAGATATTGAATGAATAATAATCAAATTTATATAATACAATTGTTACTAAACATTGTTAGATCGTATAAGGTATGTAGAATTTCTTGAAGAAGAAATCTAAAATGATTTGTATATCAACTTAAGCATAAAAATATTAAATCAATAATAGTTAAATAGTTTATATAATACAATTATTACTAGATATTATTAAAGAAGTAGAATTTTTTAAGGAAGAAATCTAAAATGACTTGTATATCAATAAAAATTATAAAAATATTGAATCAATAATAGTCAAATTTATATAATACAATTGTTACTATATATTATTAGATCATATAAGATATGTAGAATTTCTTGAAGAAGAAATCTAAAATGATTTATATATCAATAAAAATTATAAAAATATTGAATCAATAATGGTTAAATTTATATAATAAAAATTGTTACTAGACATTACTAGATATAAGACACGTAGAATTTCTAACCTTATTTTTTCTTGATTATAAAATGATTTATATATCAATAAAAATTATAAAAATATTGAATCAATAATGATTAAATTTATATAATAAAAATTGTTACTAGACATTACTAGATATAAGACACGTAGAATTTCTAACCTTATTTTTTCTTGAATATAAAATGATTTATATATCAACTTAAGCATAAAAATTATTGCATCGTGAATCAATAATAGTCAAATTTATATAATACAATTGTTACTAGATACATAGATTATATTACATCGATATTAGGATCTCCAGACATTTCTACGAATAAATATTATTAGATCTATTACCCATCGCTAATATTACTATTATTATTATTATTAAGAAATCTATTCTATCCAAAATCAAAATAACAAGTTGAACTGCTTACATCCATTAACTTCCTATTCAATTATCGTTGATCGTTCATCAATCGATTTTGCTGCAATTTTCTTCCTCTTCGTGCACATATAGACAGAAATATTAATCCACAAATAATATATCTCCATTTTGCAGATCGCTTTTGCGGTATCTACCTCTGCTCGAACAATACGCCCTCCTTCTCCGCTACTATCTCTACGAGCAAGTGGCATGCTTCCGTCTCACTTGCAAATTCCTCTATCTTCAATTGAACGTGTTCCTCGAGCTGGCTGCCAACGGTTTCTGCCTACCGAAGGACGAGGACGAGGCTGAGCGCGGGGAGGAGGGGAAGAACGTCGAAGGGGGGATGGGACTGGCCGAGGGCGAGGGGC